CAGACCCAGCGTCCTGGCGCTCGCCTTTTCTTCAGAGGGCACTCACCAGTCCTCGGGGTCGCAGTCCCGGAAGCCTTTGGCGAAGGGATTGCTGGCAATCTTAAGCTGTGTGATCTGCAGGGAAGGCGATGTAAGCTAACTGTGCTAGCAGCCGGATCTCGGCAGCCTCAGATCTGGGAGTGTTTCTATAGTTTTAGAGGGGGTAGGCCTTCTGCGCTGTCTAGAAGAGAAAGGGCCCCCAACTGCCCCCGCTCCTGCACGATGAGCCTCCTCTCACCAGACCTATCTTTGCCTTCCCAAATAAGTGATGAGGAAGAGTGTCGGGGCTGGGATGGGAATGTGGGCCCCTCCGCCCTCCGCAGCCCCCCAGCACAAAGAGGGCAACTTGGAGCTGGCGCCCTAGGAATCTGGGTGAAGCTCAGATCAGGCCTCTGATGGGGAGTTTCCGGAATGGTTTGGAAAACAAACTTTCAGGCTGCAGAGACAGTTGCTGCTACAGAGGTCAAGCTGATATAGGAGGCTGGGCCAGCCTGCGGAGGGAGAGGGCAGTGGTGTGCCGGTCCCGGGACCCCCCAGCAGGCCCTCACCCGGTGGTTCTGGTAGGCAGTGACTGCAGTGAAGCGTGTCTCCTCAAATACAAAGGTTTTGAAGTTCTCCTCTGCATATTTCTCACTGTCTTTGCGAGGGTCCACGTATACAACATGGAAGCGGGGCTGGTATCTGTGCATGGAGTTGAGAATAATCTGGAAGACAAGGGTGGTCGGAGTCAGCTCCAGCTTGAGGCTGGAAGGAAGATTCGGGCCAGAATCACGAAGTCTAAGGAAGCAGTGAAGTTTCTTAGCAAGCGCTCTCATTCTAAGATGGCATAGGGACTTGCAACCCATTGAGGACCTCCTGGGAAAGATGCTTCAGCCGGCCAGTGATGGGGTTGTCAGGTTTCTTTCCTTAGATCCTAAGGGTTACCCCAGGCCTACAGGGGTGGTAGTTGTAAGGCCCAGCTCCACCCAGCTGGAAAAGGAAAAGGAAAAGCACCCACCCCACCCCCCAGGCTGGGACTCCACAGGCCTCCAGCCCTCTTCTCACAAGAGTTCATCTTTAGCTCAGAGTGGGGAAGAGAAGAAAGGTGATCCCCCTCAGGCCAAGGTCATCCTGTCAGAAGCTTGCACCCACCCCAGGGCTGCCCCAGTACTGCCTCTCTGTCTCTAATTGGTGGCAACGCAGGAAGGCCTACACAAGAGAAGACTGAGAAGGGTAGCCTACATGGCCATTGTCATCCAGCAGGTTATTGGTCAGCTTCAGCTTGTCGAAAGACACGATTTGCTTCATCCACTGTGCGCCCTTAGCCGGCGAGTCAGGGTGGTAGTGCACTCGGCCAGGTGTGGCAGGGTCTGCCTTGCCGGCCACCAGCCAGGAGGAGCTATGGAAGGCATACCTAGGGCAACATAGTGGGAGGGGTCATGCTATTTAGGGGTGAGCAAGAAGACCCCAGTGCTTCAGAGTTGTTTCTGTTCTTGACAAAATCAAGACTCCCAAGTCACAGCGGCTTGAGAGAGGACTGTGGATAAACCAGAAAACTTCTGAAGACTGTAACACACAAAAGGTGCCTAGAGTCTGGGCCCTACTGCTGCAGTAAGAGAGGAAGCCACTCCCTCTTTCATTTCGCTGCAAGCGGGTCTGCTTGCCCCAGGGCCCAGGAGGCAGGAGACTGGATTTGGCGTCACTGGCCAGCGGCTTTGGGCCCAGGGCGGTCCATGTTCCCTTTATTAATTACTGTTAATTGTCCTGGCAGCCCAGGCCCGCCCTGCATAATCTTAACCAGCCACCCCACCTTTCCGGCCCAGCTCTGGAACTGAAGGTTCTCTAGAGATGGGGGAAGGGGACAAGACGGTCATCAGGAGACGGGTGAAGTGGCCAGCCACACCAGCAAAGGCATCTGAGCTGCCTGCTGCCAGAAGCTCAAGAGGCTACCACAGTGAGCTTCTCAGGTGGCTTCTAGAGAATAAATAGGAGTGGGGTCTGAGTGGAGCAGGGGGAGCAGCCAGTACAGGAGGACCCGGCTAGGGGGGCATTTGAAATGGGTTTTCTAGCACACCCTCCCTGTTCCCTGGACACACCGCTTGTCCCAGGGGTACCAGGGGCTCACCGGTAGCGCTTGTCATCCACAGGCACAAAGTCCATGAGCAGCATGTAGTCAGCCATGGGGTCCATCCCAAAGAGCTTCACTTGGAAGGTGGGGAACATCCGCCTGGGGGAGGTGGGTCACCTCAGGGGGTGGACAGGACCTTCTCCACTCTAACTTCTCTGGCCTGGCAGCCCCTACTTCAGCCCTTCCTTAGAGTCGCTGCTATCTTAAGCCCAGCCCTTCAGTCTCACTCTCTAACCTCAAGTAGGCCCATTCTCAACCACGGGCAAGGCAGCAGCAGGCTGGGCCCTAGGTCCCTCTCTGAAACACAGAAATGGCTAACCAGGTACCGAGCCGCACAATCCCAGAGCCTATTCAGTCTTCTTTTCCCACACAGACAGCCTTGCCCAAGGAATTTCTTAGCCTTCTGGACTTGGCCTAAGCCAGCAGTGGGATACTAAGATCCCGGCTTCTCCTCGGTCCTCAGGGCCTCCCCTGCTTGATCCAACAAAGTGAAAGAGTTCCCGGCTCCAACAAAAATGAAACCGAGGGCTGCAGTAATTCCAAAAGTCTACACTGCTGCTTCCAGTTCCCCCAGGAAAGCCGACACCTCAGAACTCCAATCTCCAACTCTCAAGACCTGGCCAGAGTCTCCCCACTTTATGTAGGACACAGGCAAGTCCCTACTTCCCCCAAGAATCTGCTTGCAAAGGACTTACATTAAACGTTCCCGGTTCCCTCCCTCCCGTCTGAACCCCTCCAGTGACATTCAAGGCCCTGGTTCGTCTGCCCTGGGGCCAGTAGGCCGAGCTGCCCTTTTCACTAGGCTGTGTGGGTATGGACAGCAAAAAGAGCCTGGAGAAAATGCACGGAGCAGCAGCAAAGGACAAGCCCTGGGTTCCCCAGGGATGGCTGCACAGCAGGGAAACAGAAACCTCGAGAAGGCTTTGCAAACAGGCCCTGAGCCTCCTTGGCCACTGAGCTGGTGTGTACATTAGACACAACCCAGCACCGGCCTTTGTCTACTGGTCAAATCGGGAGCATCTGCAATTGTTCCCTTTCCCTCTCAGCCCTTAAAACAAATAACAGAGTGACTGGCACCGATACCCTGCCAGGCTTATGAGAACTGGGCCCACAAGCGGCCGAAATTGAGGCCCAAGAAAACCGGATCTCGAGTTCCCGGAAACTGAGCGCACTGGCTTTAAGGGTCTTAATTCTCTCTTAAAATTATCCATACAATTAGGGGGTGTTTGCTCTTGAGATCGCTGTACAGACTGAACCCACGCGGGAGTTTCCTAGGTGGTGGCCGCCTGACTTCAGCCGTCACCCTCTTAGCCCACAAATTTCCCTCGCGTAGTCCGGGGACTCGCGGTTGGTGCTCCGCGGGTTG